GTTAGCAGGGCAGTGACCTGGTCTGGTTCTCATTAGAAAGGTCACTGGCGCCTGAATGGATGATGAGCAGGGCAGGAGTGGAAGCCATCAGGAGGCCGGCCTGTCCAGGTGGGAGTGGATAGTGACCTGGAGCAGGGAGGTGGCCGGACAATGGAGAGACATGGGCAGACTTGAAGCATACTTAGGAGACTGGAGGTGCCTGCACTTGCACATGGATTGGGTTTGGGGCGGGTAGAGGGATGTGCCTACTTTATGACAGGCACTGGCTTCAGGTGGAGGAGGCAGCCGGGGACAGCCCTGCTCTTCAGGAGCTCGCAGAGGTTGTGAGTGAGCAGGAAACCGATGGCTGACAGTCTCAAACTGTGTGCAGTGCTGGTGTGTGTTCACACCATTCCACCACACACACCCCTGTCCCCACCCCTTAACCTCTCCTGGGAAAAGAGCAGCAGGCAGGGGAAGCTCCCTTCCCCGACTGGGCCCCTCTGTGCAGAGACTGGGGAGGGCAGGGTGTAAGATCAACAACAACCATCCTAGCTTAGGGCAAAAAAGATACTTGGGATTCCTTGAATTTAGGAAGTTTAAGGGGAAAGTTCTACGGGCTTTAACGTTAAAAAAGGATACTTCCTCTCTGTTTATTTTAAACGTCCAGATCTGAACCTGAAATCAGCTGTATTTCTCCTGGGAATAAAACCCAGAGTGCTTTTTGAATCCTGTCAGAGCCACTTCTGACTGCCGGGTGTGCTCGGGTCCACGCCGGGAGCCAGCCTGCCTTCCTCATCAGCGGGGCCCAGCGCTCCCGGGGAAGGGCCCAGTGAGGCCGTCTCGCGGCTCCCTGTGAGCTGGTAAAAGGCCCTGCGTGCGCCCTTGCCCTCCAACCAGCCCCAGCTGGTTCCTGCGGCAGGAGGAGCACGTGGGAGTCGGGTCAGAGACCTGGCTCAGATCCCAGCTCTAGGACTGAGGGGCCGAGCTACTTTATTTCTCTGACCTTCAGTGTCATCTTTAAAATGGAGAGGAAAAGGTAATGCACGTGAAGGCGTGGCATATTGCGGACCCTCAAAGCGGGGTTCAGTGTGATTGCCCTGAGAAGGCAAACGGCCTCCCCAGGGGGTCCCCGTGCAGAGTCCCTCCATGGGCCATGGAGAGCAAGGCCTGAAGGTGTGACGAGTTCAAAAGACGCTGAGCTGCGAGCCTGGATACCTGGCTGCCAATTCCAGCTCGTCCACCCGCACCACAAGACCTTGTTCATGTCAGCCGCCCGCTCTGAGCCCACGTTTTCTTGTGTTCAAGGTGTATACCTGTCCCTGTTTACCCAGTGTGGATAATAACGTGTGGAAGGACTCTCCCAGAGCGCACGTTGCTCTCTGTACTCCGGGAGGAAAGCTCTCTCATCCTGAATCTGGGGCGGCTAAGGCATGGGCAGTGGGGGAGGTGGGGAAGCGTAGGTAACCAGAAGTGAGGCCCGGTGTGTGTGCCGGGGCAGGAGGCAGAAAGTAAACCAGTGTCTGCGTGTGCTGCCTCCCGCCACCTAATGCTGCCATCTGCCTGAGGATCTTCACTGCCATCTGTCAGGAGCTCTCAAGTACACGGCCTTGTTCCGCCTGTTCCCTGTGTTGATGTCTGGTTAGTGAGGTTCAGCGGGGAGGTAAATGTTTTGGGGAGGGTGCTGGCAGCAGGACACACTGGTCCTTCAACACAGCATTTGTACTTAGCCTGTGCTTCTCATCTTTACGTTTAAAATACATATGGAGCCCTTCCTTTCCACCCAGAACTTCACACAATATGATCTTGTTCAAACCTCACTTTACGCCTATGAAAGCAGGCATTAGGCCCATTTTGTAGTTGAAGCTCAGGGTGGATCAGGACTTTCCGGTGGCAAGGCACAGAAACCACAACTCAAACTTGGCTTCAGAATTAAAAGGGAGTTTATTGACTCAAGTAACTTAACAGTCCAGAGGTAGGGCTGATTCCAGGCAAAGCTGTGTTCGGGACTCAGATGATCTCCACAGGGTGGGACCTGCTTTCCTTGTGGATTTCACTCTGATTTTCTTTCCACCAGCTCCCCACCTGCACCCCATGAAAAGGTGCCTCTCTTTCTCAATGGGCCCAGCAAAGGAACTTGGACCATGCGCCCAGCCCTGACCCAATCCTTGAGTGGCCAGAAGTTTGGAAGGCTCTCATTGGTTGGGTCTGGATCATGTGCACAGCCCTGACCCAATCCCTGAGTGACCAGGAGTTTGGAAGGCTCTCATTGGTCAGACCCTGAGCCCAGCACTGCAGCAAGGACTGAGAATGGGGACTTTACAGGCTTGCAAAAGGCTGGGCAGGGTACCGCTGGAGGACAGTGTTAGCAACAGTGGCTATCCCCTAGAGACCAAGGTTAGGTGGCCTGCCCAGCCTTACGGAGGGCTGCAGCCCAGACTAACCTCGAGCTGGCTGGTTTCAAAGGCCGCGCCACTCTTGCTACTCAGGGTGGCGACCCTCAGCCGCGGCTACGCAGCAGAATCACTGCAGGAAATGAGTTAAAACAAATACCTGGGCCCCACCCCCTGAAAAGAGATGCTTTAGGGGTGGGACGTGGGCATCAGTATTCCTCAACAGCTCCCCAGGTGACTGTACTGTGCAGCCAAAGTTAGAATCCTAACTAATCCAGTGCATTAGGATTACCCTCCCCCACTACACGCTGTAGGGCACGTGATGTTGCACTCGACGGTCACTGTCACCAAAGGGCTCAGAACCCAATCAGCTGAGTTTGGGGGATGAAGATCAGGTGCCTGGGAGACCCGGGTGTGACCTTGTGCAGTCTGGCCTCGAGGCTGGTGCAGGCCGTCTCGGGGTGAAGGCAGGGCAGGTATGCTGGTTCCCCTTTCTGCCCTTGAGCATCCCGTCCTGTGACATGTAAATTACAATTGCCCCGCTGGCAGTGTACACCTCAGGAGAGCGAGAAACACGGCGGCCCTGGTGAGAGGGGCTCTCCCCGTCCCCTTGCTGCGGCAGCCCAGCCAGGACTGTGGGCTGAAGCCACTTGCTCCTGAACACCCACTGCCAGGCCGCTCCTGGGGCTCCAGGCCACCAGCCACCTGTCCTTCTTCTAAGACAAAGGGAAAAACTCACAGTGTAGCTTTTGAGGGCCATGCTTCTCCCTCTTAACTAGACGCAGGCGGCAGGAAGGAGCCCCCTTTACCAGGGATGAAATGTCTACCCAGCTCCTCCTTACCCGGCCTCCCTCCTCACTTGCACAGAAGCACGTAGGTATGCTGGTAACTGCACAGAAGCACGGCCAGGGCAGACAGAGAGCCACCATCCTGCTTTACACGCCAGGCGTCACCTCTACAGCGGGCACACGGAGGCTCTGTGATGTGCCCAAGGTCGCAGGGGAGCGAGCTCCTGGCCCTGAGTCCCGAATCCGCGGCTTTCCTGAAGCCACGGTCCTGGCTCTTTGCCCAGTGTGACACCTGTGGTTCCTTAACATTCTGTAGATCTGCTCGTTTCCCCCACCCCACACCCATTAGTTTAGAACTACATTTTGCCTCATTCACTATACACCATCACTTCTAGTGGCCCGCTGGCTCTGTGACACGACCCAAACCCAAGAGCCTCACACTCGTAGGAGGGCCCCTCTCAGAGCCTCTGCCCAACACACCACTTCACCACTCCACTCGGGTTTCAGCAAGATCCTTTATTTATCTCCTGCTCCCCAACCACGTCACGTGCGCAGAGGCAGCCAGGTACCCGTGTGGGCTGCTGGCTCTGTAAACGTAGAGCGGTCAGTATGTACAGAAATCATGCACCTCAGTGGTTCTTGAACAAGATACTTAATGAGTAAAAAGACTTCAGGTGTGTTTGAAATTTCTGCTCTTTCCTGCATTCGAATCACTGAAAAATATCTGCGTGGAAATTTTACTCAAATGTAGACACGTTTTCTTTGCCCACTTGCTAGTAACCACCTAGCGCATTTCAGATCGTGTTCACTTCTGACGCCTGCTCCTCACAGAAGCTGCTGGTCTCCACTCGGACATAAACACGGGACCCGCACGTGTGACAAGCCGTCGATTCCACACCGCTCCACGGCTTTATAAACCCGACACTGCCATCATTCATTATTCAAGAAAGGCATCTCTAGTACGGCTGGAGGCTACGCTCTCACACATGGGCTAACAGGAGGCTGTTTCTAGACTCAGCGCCTCAAACTGGCCCCGTCCTTCACAGGAGACCAAAAGCCAGCACCGCGACTGGCAGTCCTCTGGGTCTGTAGTCCTCCCAGTGTCACACACCCTGGCTTAGGTCGCCGTCACTTGGCACCTGTGCAGTGACAGAGACACAGGGCCCACTCTCTCCGAGGCCAGGGTTCGAACATTTATGTACAGACAAATAAATGGAAAATCAGAGGCAACAGAACTCCAAAGCAAAACAGACACTTTGGTCGGATCTACGATTCCAGTTTGCCAGAGAAAGGCTTTCCCAGAGGTCAATGGATGAGTGAGGTCTTATCCCACCACAGCTCCTATCAGCCAACCTGGGTTGGCTTAACATTCATCACCGTGGACTCAAAACCGCTCAAACGGGGAAGTTTCCAGGCCCGGTTTGGCAGTGGGGCTTCTGTAGGCAGTGAGGTAAGTGAATTACACGTTCCGCGGCTGCTCCGTGGGAGCCCCACCTTGGCTCTCGAGGACTCCAGCCTCGGCTTCGTAGGAAAGCAAGGTTGACAGAAAAGCCTCCAGTCCCACCCGCCGAATGCTCTTTGCCATCGGGGACCTGACAGGGTTTGGGGCGAGGTGAGTGACGGGGACAGCTTCCCCAGGCCTGACGCCGTGCACCGCCCCTGACCGTGTCCACCCTGCCCGCGAAGCCGGCCGGCGGCGGGGACTGCATCTCTCCCCTGCCCTGGGGCGGCTGCAGGGTCCCCTGTGTGACTGTGACAGCAGCAGAGGCCAAGTTCTCCAGCTCTCCAGTTTGCCATTTTTTGTTTTGTTTTTGTTGTTTTCTTTTAAGATGACCACAAGAAGTTTTACATTATTACATTCAGACAAATAACCATTTGGTTACTCTATTTCAGAGCACTGAAAAAACCACGGAGCAACATGACACAGACAAGAGGGGCACCGCCTCTGGTCACGGAGCAAAGTAACGCACTATTAGGCAGAAAGGAATCGCAGAAGCAGATGATCGGAAGGAAAAAAATCTAAGGAAATACAAGCTGAAAATTTCCCGTTTACAACAACCAAAGGAAAGCGGGACCCCACGCGATGTAAAAATCCCACGAAGAGCTCTCTGCTGAGGCAGGTTTCTGAGCGTGGACTCGCAATGCGGGGGGCCAGACCGGACCCCAGACCGCCCATGCTGACCCGCGGCCACTCTCGCCGGCTCCAGCACGGGAATGTTCTCATCGTCCCGGAGCAAAGATGAAATCCAGGGCCTGCCGTTCGGCGGCTGCGACATTTGGATGCCACAGATCCACCATGAAAACCACCCGTGGGCCATCCTCTGCTGAACCTGGGGGCGGGTGAGAGAGGAGAGGTTCAAAGTGCCCTGGAGCCAGGACCCACCCAGAGCTGGATCCCGCGTGGAGAGCTTCTGGGCAGGGGCCCATCCCGGCCCTTGGCACAGATCAGATCTGCTCCTCTCTGGTCAAGAATGCTGTCACGGCTTCCTAAGGTTCTGAGCAGGGTGAGTAAGAGGAAACGGGCGGAGGGCGGGAGGGGTGAAGAAGTGGAAGGCGGAGCACAGAGGACCTTCAGGGCAATGAAGCTCTTCCCTGTGATACTCTCATGGTGGATACATGCCATCATATATCTGTCAAAACCCACAGAACGTACAACACCAAGCGTGAACCCTAATGTAAACTATCAACTTTAATTAATAATAATGTATCAATATTGGCTCATCAATTATAACAAACGTAGGACACAAATGCAGGATGTTACTAAAAGGGGAAACCGTGTGTGAGGGTGGTGTGTACTTTCTGCTCAATTTTTCTGGAAACCTAAAACTGCTTTAAAAAACTCTATAATAAAAAAAGGTGGCGATGGGCTGGGCAGACACTCACCTTCGTGGAATGCAGTGTGCAGGAAAGAATCATCGAAGAGGAGGCAGCGGCCCTCTGCCCAACACTGGGGCTCTCCCCCCACCACCAGCTCACAGCCGCTGGGAGTTTTCAGACCTTGGGGGACAAGCAGAGAGAGGGGAGAGAAGGCACGCAGGATCAGGGAGGGCTGGAGGTCGGGGGGGCCCGCTTTGGTGAGAGCTCTCAACTTCTGAAGCACCAGACCCTGCAGCCCACCCCTCTGAGCCCCGCCCGGGGTGGGGGCGGTTCAATAGGGCAAATGCAGGCTGTGCACCTGGATCCTCGCCGCGCTCCTTGGGCAAACTCATTCCTCCACTGGCTTAACCTGTTCTGGGTCATGGACTCCTCGGACTAAAGCATAGACCAAGGCTTGCACTACACTTTTGAGACTCCTGAAGCCCGACCCAGGACCCCTGGAAATGGAGGGAAGCCGGGTTCAGAGCCCCGCCCGGCCCAACTGTGTCTACTGTGGCGCCATCTCTAGGGCAGTTTTAGTTGAGATTCAAGATGCAGAGGTTCGCACAGTGCCCTGTTCTTTGCGTGCCAACCTTCACATCCATTTTGAGGCCCGAGGACGGCATGTTCCCCAGACTCATTCTGGGAAACTGGAGGACACCCCCAGGGAAATGCCTGAGCTTCAAGAGGAAACAAACTGACACCTTCGCAAGGAGCCATATGCTCAACACGCAAGTGGTGAGTCCCGAGCTCGGGGGCCTAACCCCAGAAAGGGGGGCTGGTTGAAGCGCGGCTGTGCGGGCACTTCCACACCCCCATCCAACCCAAGGCTCTGCAGAAACACCTGGCCCCCTCACTACCTGGACGTCCATAAACGAAGCTCCCACCACAGCCCTCACGGGTTCGGGAGAGGACGGGTCAGCCCGACAGCTCTCCAGGAGGACTGACCCGTGAGGAAGGGGGCCCTGGAAGATGGGCTGGGATCGCGGTGTTCCTGTTCCTCAGTGACTCACTGTGACAACCGTGACCCCAGGCCATGACTGAATGTCCCCTGTGAGAAACATGAAACAGCTTTCTCTCTAACAGCCAGAGCGTTTTAACACGGCCTTTGCAGCCGAGATGGATGGCTCCAGGGAGTACGTACGTGTGGAATAAGAACTCACACAGATGCACCGCACAGACGAGCGGGAAGCACAGGAGACCTGGGTCAGACAACTGGCTCCGACCCTACGTGCTGCGTGCCTCTGGGCAAGTCACTCAACCTCTCTAAGCCACAGCCGCCTCGTCTGTGAAAGGGGCACATTAACACACACACCTTCCAGGGCTACGTGCCCACTGCCCCTGCTCCCGATAACGGAACACTTCCTGTGAGCAGGTCTGTGCTAAATAAACACTGGACAGGCATCGTCACCCACTTTCCAGATGGAGCGCCTGAGATTTAGGGAAGTGAAGTGCCCTGCTGGAAAGTCAGTTGTCCTTGTGGGAACTGCGATCTGAATCCAAATCTGTCTGGCTCCAAAGAACAGGCTCTCATAAGACTGGACAGTATGATATAAAAGCCAGTTACTACGTTAGCAGCAGTGGAATTAAAGTGTTGTTGATTTCCCTGTAGTTAGTAAGTTTCAATTATCAACAGTACTTTCCACTGAATCAGCTGAGCCCATCCATCCAACTCTGGTACCACGATGTCCTGCTACTGTGAACAACGGCTGGGGGACAGGGAGGTAAAGGGGTTCAGCCTGCCACTTGCTGGGCCAGATGGGAGGGCCCCACCGGCCATACCTTCTCGTCACGCGTCTCCTCACAGGCTGGTGCGGGGCAGAAGGCCTATAGGAATAGGTGGTTTGCTGTGGGGATGGTCTACCCCAGGGTTTCAGAAAAAAGCTCCCCTTTCCCTGGGCCACTAAATGATTGACTGCCACGTGCCACGGTGACAGAAAACGGGCCCGGCTGGAGGGGAGTAAACCCTGTGTACTCCCCTCCGCCCGCCCCTGCATTCTGCTCAGCCTTCTAGTGGCCCACTATTCCTGCCTATTGCCCACAAACCAGCTTAGCTGGTACAAATGATCAATATTCCCCCCGAATAGAGCAGCTGGGTGGCTCCTGGGGGTAGAGATGGGCCCCACACATGGCCTCGCCCAGTCCCAGATCCCACACCGAGCACTGAGGGAGGCGGAAGGAGGGTGGAGAAAGGGCTCTGCCCACCAGCCGCCCCCACTTCAGGATGCTGGCAGCTGACACTCAGGGCGGGCAGGGCAGCACGAGCGGATCTGCTGGTACACCTGGCTAGGCTGCCCAGAAATCTGACAGCATCCACACAAAAGGAAAAAGAGAGTCTAATTGTGCTTATTCAGCGAGAATTTGCTGAATATACTCATGCATTTTCCTCTCCCCTTTCCTGAGGGTCGGCCATTTGGACAGGCATCTGCCTCACCAGTAACATCTGCCTAGTTAGCTTCAGAGGTGTTTCCTGGAGGTTTGTGGCAGTGCAGCCGGGCCGCCCCAGCCCTGCACACAGTGCTGGTGACGGCTGGGCCGGAGCTGTCCTCTGGTTCAGCCGAGACTGAGTGATGCCACCTCTAGAGGCAGCTCAGAGCAGGGCGCAGCACATGTGCCCAAGGAAGAGCACCGGCTGGGGCTGCAGTGTCGGGAGGGACAGTTCCACCAGCCACAGCTCAGACGGAGGCAGAACAACAGGACAAGGGCTGGCATTGCAAGAGCGCAGCTCGGGAACTGCAGGTGCCTGCTCAGCTTCAGCCAGGGAACTGGCGGACGTGTGGCCACGGGGCTCCACCAGGCCTGCTCTGCTTCTGACCTCATTCTCTGGACGCCCTCTCTGTCAACACACAAGGTCACGTGAGCCTAACACACCTTGTTTCCTTCCTGGGTGGATACACATGTGCCCGTGATTGTGGGAAGGAGGAAACACTGAGCAAACCCAACCACAGAGCTCGCCCAGCCACGGGGACTAGCCACCCTCCAGTGCCACGTGTTCCAAGTTGCCTGCTGCCCAGGGAACACGGAAGACCAAGATTTTCCACTGGCAAATAACCAGCTAGGCCAAGGAGGTAATGACAGGTCATAAAGAGGGTCTGTGTGGACATGTTTTACACACACACACACACACACACGTATATTGCAGAGACGCACAACAGGCATTAAATACACAGGAGGCAGATCTTTGGTGTTCTTGCTACCAGCCCTTCCTACTCGACACACCTGCCTGGACTTCTATCACATCAATCCTCAACGTTCCTCCCTACACGGCGTTCTGAAGCTTTAAAAAACACACAATGAGGGGCCGGCCTGGTGGTGTAGTGGTTAAGTTCACACACTCCGCTTCAGTGGCCCAGGGTTCGCAGGTTCAGATCCCAGGTGCGGAACCATACACTGCTTATCAAGCCACGCTGTGGCGGCAGCCCACATATAAAGCAGAGGAAGATGGGCATGGATGTTAGCTCAGGGCCAATCTTCCTCAGCAAAAAAAGGACTGGCAACAGATGTTAGCTCAGGGCTAATCTTTCTTACTGAAAAAAAAAAAAAAAACACACAAGGAAAATCTTTAAAAAAGAACAGCACTGTTCCCCACTGCCCACAGCCTCAATTCCGAAGCCCGGCATGGGGGCCCTCTGTGGTCGGCACCCACCCAACCTGTCCAACCGCAGCCCCCACCACTGGCCTCCCCTGACCGGCTCCCCTAGCCCCATGGGGAAGGCTCCTCTTTCTGCCCCACCCTGGTGGCCACAGTGATCCTCCAGGGCCAGACCCAGCTCCCCAGAGAGCCTGCCTGCAGCCCGGTGCCCTCTGATCTCGGAGTGCACCCGGGGCCGTGCACAGCGCTGTGATTTCTCACAATCACCACTCAGATGATCATGTCCCCTCTTCCATTACTTAGAGCCCCTCTGGCTGACGCCCTCTACCCGCCAAGTACTTGAAACAGTCCTAATCCTCCAAACACGCCTCCAGGCAGGTATCACCACCCCCATTTTAGAGAGGAGAAAACCGAGGCTCAAAGACTTTCAGGGCCGTGCTCAAGGCCCCTCTGGAAGTGGGGCTGGCAGATCTGAGTTGAGGTGTGTTTGCTTCCAAAGCCTGTTCATTTCCCACTGTTTCCTGAGGGCAGAGACCACGTCTTATGGATCATTTCTCACACTGTCACACGCAGTGTCTGATCATAAAAGCTCTAGCTATCATTTCTCGAATGCCATCACATGCCAGGCACCACGTTAGGCAGCCACAGAAGATATGACTTGAATCCTCTCAATGATCCTGTGAGGGAAGCACTATCTCCCCATTTTACAGATGAGCAAATGGAGGCACGGATTCAGTTACTTACCCAAAGTCACAGAGCTGACCACGAAGCCAGGCCACCTAGTCCAGAGCCTCCACTCTGTCCTGCCTTTACTCCTGAAATACTCACAGTGTCAACTGCTCGGATCTAATTCCTTTTGTTTTTCAAGCAGTGAAGCTCTCTGTCCTGGCCACATCTTACTCAGATTCCCCAGAGAGAGCATGGGAGAAGCAGAGGGCTCCGGGTAGAGGGCCCGGGGCATCCAGTGCAGGCCCCCCAGGCCCCTCTCTGGAGCCTAATGACGAACCCCTGCTCCAGCCTACACCGGGGCTCCTGCACGTGTTTCTCCTTCCTCCACCCTGAAGCCAAGGCAGCACTGCCAACTCCCTACAACCGGCCTTTGCCGAGGCTCTCGGCAAGCTCCTCTCATCTGGGAGCTAACTGGTGATGCTGTCACCCCGGTAACCAACCCGTTATCACAACTCACCAGGAATGAGGCATTCTGGGAACTAATATTCCTATTTACCGAGTTGTTTTTAAGCCTACCTGTTAAGTACTCACTATCAGCCTCTGTGTGAACAAATGCTTTACAATACACATTATCCTACCAGATCCTCAAACCAACTCTGTAAGAGATGATCTTTCTACCTCCACTTTCCAAACAAGGAAACTGAGGCGCAGGGAGATGAAGTGACTTGCCCAAAGTAACACAGCTAGCTCACGGTGGGGCCAGGATGCAAACGAAGGCAATCTGACTCCAAACCCTGTTTTCAAAACTGCTACACACAGCACACACATCACTACTTTTCCAAGAACCTGAATAAAATCACCTAACACCAAGCATCATTTCAGCCTTGGCGATTCAGAAGGCACCTCGGTATCTTTCCCAGTAATCAGTACAACTGTCTCTGGCTCTAGAGCTGCACTGCCCAGTACAGTAGCCATGGCCTATGTGGCTATTTAAATTTAGATTAAATTAAAAATTGAGCTCCTTGCTTGCACCAGCCACAGTTCACGCATTCCACGGTTCCCCGCGGCTAGTGGCTACCGTACTGGATGGTGCAGCTGGAGACCTTTCACACACTGCAGAAAGTGCTTTTGGACAGAGCTTCTGTCAGAAATTAGGTTTACACCGATCACCAGTTTCTTATTTGACTCAATCTCTGCTGTCAAAATTGCTTACAGGTGATTCACCAATTTGTGATAGGAGTCCAGTGTAGGATGTGAAAAAGCACGATTCTGGCTCCTGAACTTTTGTGATGTCTGGTCACCCACGAGTCAGACAGACTGAGACCAGCGCGGGCCGGGAGACCCGTCCCTGCAACGTACCTAAGTGGCATCGGATGCGGATGTTGGTGGGGCCATAGTGCTCCGTTATCACAGTCCCAGGGCTCAGCACGGAGATGCACGCGTTCCCAAAAACATTGTTCCCAATACAGGTTCGAAGGCTTCCGAGCAAGCGGTACGTCCGTGGGCACTTCCTGCAGTTCCTGGGGACACAAACCCCCTGGTTGACCAAGTAAAAGGTGACCCACTCCCCGCTGGACGTGCTGTTCATTTTCCATCCTTGCGGGAGGCTGCAGTTTGAGAAAGCCTTGTAGAGGGTCTCAAACTCGCACAGGATGGTCTGGAAGTTCCGCTCCAGCAGCTCCACGTCGTGCTTCTGTGCGTCCCGGGAGAAGTAGGGCGTGGTGGGGAGGTCGGGCAGGAAGAAGACCTCGGGCTTCTGGATGGACGGCCGGCTGTTGAGGTAGCGGCCCTGCTCGCGGATGCCCTTGTGGATGCGGCCCATGCCGGACCAGGAGTAGCGCTTGGCGTACTCCTGCAGGTTGTGGTAGAGCTTCTGGTTGAGGCCCTCGTTGTGGGTGCAGCGCACGCACTCGGGGGACTGGCAGTACACGTAGCCGTTCTGCAGCCCGCCGGCATCGGGGCCCTGCATGAGCGAGTTGACGGAGGCGTAGGGCCGGGGCTGCTCCCGGCCCACGTGGTAACAGTACCACACGAACAGGACCAGCAGGCAGGCCACGGTGACCACAGCGGTGGTGTCACAGTCCCGCACGGACTGGATGCCCGTGGCGATGCAGTCCCTCAGGCCATCCAGCGACCAGCTCCAGGCCACCAGCCACTCGAGAGACATCTTGGAGGAGTTGATGTCGGGGGCGTGAAGCAAGGGCAGACAGTCAGTCCTCCGGGGTCCCAAGGGCACCCACACCATGCAGCTTAGCGCGGGGGGCCAGGGGGGAGCATGGCTGCCACCGTTCCTCGGATCCTGCCAGGGGCGGCATTGACGGACCTCTGTGCCCGCCACTCTACTCCTGGCCAAAGTCACTGCAGGGAGGGCGGAAGGAGCTGCTTTATGTCACGTTAGCAAGTGGGGCTGGTCACTGCGAAAGGATTTTTAGGAAGTCCAAAGCTGGGATGAAAAAAAATAAACCAGCATAAATTTTTACACCTGGAAAAGCCCTCAACTGACATGCAAAGCCTCAGATCATTCTGTAAGGTCCTTGTTGGGACCACACTCCTCAACCTTGTGTATTCTCTCCCCATTTTACCACCATTCCCAATTAGCAAAAAGCCAGTCATGTTTAACCTGCATCAAGCACTGTCTGATAATTACAGCAGTCCTATCTATTCTCTGTCATCCTTAGGAGGGGCCATTAGCCCCATTTTACAGATGAGGAAACCAAGGCTTGGAGAGGCCATATGACTCACCCAAGTTCACGCAGCCAGGGCAGGGACACAAACCCCATCTGACTGCAAAGCCAACGTCTAATCGTTTTGCTATACTCTTTCACAGTAGATATTTAATAAATGCTTATTCTCCTTAAATCTCTGTGCCTTTAAGTAAAAAAGAAATCTAGATTCAAAAGCGTCTTAAAAATGGCAAAGGAACTTGAAAACTGCATGTTCTCCATCTGACTTTCTCTTTTCAGAGCACTTCATCATTCTCATTTAATCTCCCCTGCCCTCTGACACGGGCTGGGCTTAAAATCAAGCTGGAAAAGGAAGTGGGCTCTGGGGTCACATCCGTGGCAGACACAGGGCATTTTCTGTCTACTCGCTGGGGAGACTATCTCCTGGCCTCACCCATGGGTTATGCAAATAAAATGAGTGGACAGAATGGAAACAGACGCCCTTTCCGGTCTGTCTCCAAACAGAAGCGCTTTGCCATGTCTCTTGTGGAAGGTTAGGGCCAGCATCTAGCACCCTGATTATCCCAATAACCTACAAGGACGATCAGAGCCCAGCTGTCACGTCGCCCGTGTCTATAAAACCCTGGCCGCGTTTCCCGGCGGAAATCCTTATCCATCCTGCTTTTCTAATCTGAAAACAGCTAGGTCTATGTTCTGCTACAAGGCCAATCCATTCCCTCATCTCGAGGAGCAGAACAATTCAGAAAATTCATTGTGTAGTCTACCCTCTCTCTTCTCTCTCAGAAATATGAGAAGGCCACTAAAAAAATGGTAAAGCTGTACCCTCCCCTTTCTCCAGGGACTAAATGTGGCCTGAAAATTCTTGCAATGTAGCAGACAGGTTAAGAACCCAAACTGAGAATGGGCTGGACGGCGTATTAATGCCAACTCTGGGCAGGTCACTTCCCCTCTCTAAGTCTCAGTTTCCTCATCTAGAAGATGGTAATGCTCATCTCCCTGGAAGAAGGTGAAGGACGACAGATCTAAGGCACTTATGGTCATGTGATGGCAGTGTTCCATATGTGCCGTCCCATCTTGATTAGCCAGCAAACCAGAGGAGGGGCACAAGGGAAGGTATTTCAGGACTGAGAATTCCAACAGCTAAAGGGAAATCCTGGACACTCCTGTGGCCATACATCTCACCTAATTTTTTTGTCCCCAGACTTGCAAAGCTAAAAACGAAAGGAAAACCTTAGGTGCTCATTAACTGCCTACTTGCATCTTCCTGGCTTAGGCTGAATCAAGAATCACTTGACTGTAACGTTTAGTAAGTCAAAAACATACATGCTGAATATTCATGGACATTTTTTATGTTTCTAGGAAAAATACAAGAGTGGGGAGGTTAGAAGCTAATTTTTTCCTCACACATTCTCAATTTCTTCACAGATTTGGGAGAAGAGGGAAAGGCTGGGCCCCACTGGATGGCAACAGTGGTTTCCTCCACGCCCCTGGCTCTCGACTATTATAACCAGCAGCTGTTTCCTCTTGAGGCGAAGGGAAAGAAAACCCAGATGAAAGATGTTTTGCTTCCAAGCGATCTCCCAGACAGAACCCCAGGATTCCCCAAATTCTGTGTGAGACCATCATCTGCGTGACAACAAGCACTTTTACTAAAAGGATTTCCCCCATCACTGAGCGAAACCGCTAATTGGAACTTTGAAACTCAGTCTCTCAGGAGGAGAGGTTTTTCTTACACGTTCTGAGTGAGATGGTGATAATTTAACAAACACCTGTTAAGTGTTAGTTCCCATCAGCCCTGCTAATCATTAACGTTTAAGTCAATCAAAATGAAGGCATGGAAGACAGGGTTGAGTATGAGGGAATCTCTCCACTGGACACCGCTCCTCGCTCACCCCACCTAGGTGAAGCCTCATTCTGTACAACGCCAGCCATGAGAGCTCCCCAGGCTGAGCTATCAACACAAGGCAGCAGAAGATCCTGACGCCCTGAACCCCAGCTTCAAACCTTGTTCACAAGATCATCAACAGCACTGAGACCTGAAGTTCAGATTTCTCATACCTGTCCGATACTTTTAGCCAATATGTGCTGGCAGGTCCCTGAGCCCAGAGGATTAACAAGCTCACAGCTGAAATGTGACACTAAAAGAAACCCTCACATTTGTAGGGTAACTGACAGTTCATTAAGTACTAGTTCAAACACCTGACACTCATAACACCCAGTGACGACTCCCCAACCTCCCAGTGGGGAGGACATGGATTCTCACCACCCGCCTCCTGCCGGCGCCCCACCAGCTCCTGTGCCAGTGACCACAGTAACTTCCAGCTTCCTTCATATATCTGTTCATTTTCATCTGTTTCATTTCTGCCCTCATTAGGGATGGGGACATCTCATGGCAGTTCTGCACTTTCATAATATGCAACTCCAGATCTTAGAGGTCAGTCAGCTCTGGGGAATACGGTTCAAATTCATGGCCAAGTGGTGAGCAAGTCCAATCACATATAACTTCTGATACAGTGAACACCTGGGGGACAGACTCATCGCTCTAACCTGGTTAATCCAGTTCACATCACCAGTCCAAGAGGCTGCCCAGTGCTCAAGAGCTTCCGGTCACTCTCAGGGGGCGGCCAGGCCACCTCAAAAGGCCCTCAAGGAGTAGGGCAGCGCTGGGCAAGGCGTGCGATGCATGCAGCCCACTCCCCCCAGGAGCGCGAGAGCCGCCCTGGAGCCGCCCCCCCCCCTCGCGGGGAACCGCTCTTGGCCAGCGTTTTCAGCACCCACCCACTCTGGAGCGGGGGAATGGGAGGCAAAAGATGGGGTAACCCAGATGGTGACCGCCAGGAAGTCAGGGCAGGAGGGGGATGGCACGATGGAAAGGTAAATGCCGACAGGAGAAGTGGGAGATGGGCTCAAGATCAGGGAAGGAGGCTTACGGTGATAACTCACGGGACAGGGAGGAGGTCAGCACGGGAAAACGGGAAGTGGGTGATGCTCAGGGCTGGGGGGAGGGGGAAAGCAAGCAAGGAAAGGGACCGACGAGGGTCACGGGGGAGGGTGATGGGGGCGGTTAACTAGGGGAGGGACTGCGACGGGGTAGGGTGGAGGAGGGTGATGCCTAGCCGGGCCGCGAGCACAGCCGAGGCGGCGGCGCTCAGCACGTAGCGAGCGCTGGCGGCGGGGCCCCTCGGCCGGGCCAGGATGCGGGGCGCAGGCGGGCGCC